AAAGAGACACTGGGCTATATGTAAAGAACAATGGTGTAAACATGTCAGTGTTGGGGTTCATTACAGCTACTGGAAACCCAGCTGAGGGAATTTGGGGTGCTACTCATCACAGCCTATGGCCAACACCGACCTCGAGGTAAATCCTACCCAAAAAGTCCCAGGCTGAGGCTCCCCACTGCTTGTATCACCTCTGCAAGCCCAGCCCGAGTCCTTGCACCCACCACGCAGCATGGAGAATGCAACACTTGAGTCTTCCAGGCAATCACTTCCCAGCTTTACCTGAAAGAGAGCGAATGCCATGAACCACAGATCAGGGAGACAAGGCGCTTAAATTCAGATATGATGGACAGCTTTTTATTTCCCAATGTTTTAATTAAACAAAGTGCTACATTCCATAGTTACAGTATGAGGAGTTGTTCTTGTCTGAAATAGAAAACCACAAGAAAGCACAAGGACTGCTAATATCACTCTATGGAAGCAGTGCAGTCCAGAGTAACCTCACCTAGGGTGAACATCTGGCATTAGAGACACCTTTAAAAATCAGCAGCTGTAGAGTGTAGGTGCATTTCATCAGGTCAAGAGCTGCACGTCAGGCAGGCGGGTTCCTCCCGTCGGATATGGGGCCGTAGATGCCAAAGCGGTTGTGTGATGCCTACAATAAATTCTGGCTTGTGCTATTGGGAAATCCCAAGCTGGGCATCCACAGGAAAACAGAGGCGAGCGACTCGTCTTGTGCTGAGTCGAGAGATTATTATTGCTGCAGCAAAGTCGCCATCGCAGCCGTGGCTTTGCAGGGGGCCAAGGCTGCGTTAGCCGTGTCACGACCCACCTTTACAGTCAGGGGCTCGCAGTTCACCCAGCACGGAGGATGAGGACGACCCTTCTGGGCTTTTCTTGTTCTGTGTGTTTCAAAAGAATCCGCTTGTTTGGCAATGCAGAGGTACAGATTAAATCAGTACAGCATTAAGAGACTGGAGGCTTCAGCTCCCACCTGAAACCCTCCTCCCCTCCCTGCCTGCAATCTGATAATTTCAAACAAATGAATCAAACTCCAGGAGTTGTGCAGAGAATATTTTTAAGAACCCAATCCAGAGTCTACTGGCCTTGGATGAGAAGGGAAGGAGCTGAATGATGCTTGTGCTTTAAAGACCTGCAGAAATTGCACTGACATCAGGGGCACTGCAGAAAACCCTGTCTGTGCTCCAAAGGCTCCTACAAGGTTCACTGGGACCCAGGGCTGGTTTTGACTGTCCATCTTACCTCCACACTAAGAAGAACTAAGCTGAAGACATGGGGAGCCTGCAGGCTCAGGAGCACGTGCCTGACCAAACCCAACTATTCAACAAACACCTCCACTTCAAATGGACATCAGTTGGGATCTCTCTGCACTGCTGAGTGGCTCAGAAAGTTGGCCAATGGTTGTCTTCTGCCAACCAGCAGCTCCCAACCAACACACCTTGGTTGGTGGTGTTCAGAGCCACAGGCTTGGGAGTGAAGCTGGACCACAAGCAAAATCTTTGGGCAGTTCTTCTATCCCACAAAGCCGGCTCCAGCACAGACCAAGAGCCAACATTGAACTGTGTGTTCAGCTGGACCTCCCTTTTGGCTACAACTGTCCTGCTTGCCCACCTTACTTGCCACCATAACCACTCCAATATTTGCCACCATTTGTCAGCCCCACTTGCAGCACTGCCGATTTCCAGCACCCCAGCCACCCACGCCATGTCCTCGCTGAGTGAAGCCAGGCTCTTGAGGACACCAGGGCATCCAGCTGATGCACTAAAACACCACCTTCATCATTCTGACTGGCAGCATTGCCTATAATTTCTTAAGTTGATTATGCTGGGGAGGGAGAAGAGAGACAGTGAAACTGATTGCCACTGTATGAAGTCGGTGTTTCCCAAACTCTGGATTTATTAGCACAACGAAAGGCCATGGCACCTCCCCACCAGCCTTCCCAATCCATCAAATCAACAATCCAACCTTAAGCTCTTCCTGTGCTGCCGGAGCTGCAGTTCTTACACTCAGACCAGCAGCCAGCTGGTCTCCTCAGCCATCTCTCCTCCTCCTGACTGGCCCATGCACTCTGCGTTTTATCGGTTACTTAACCCAACTTGTGCCGTTATCACACACTGCGCAGGCACCGTACCATTAACAGGAAAGAGGAGGCTGTCCTTCACAGGCCGTTATTGCACAAAGCACCACTGATCTCCAACTGCTCGGGTCTTGCTGGTACATTTGCTCTGTTCTGCCGTATCGCCGGCAGCTCCTCTTTTCCAGTGTTATTTTGGGTCTCTCTTTCAGGCTACAGTTGCACGCAAAGGACTCAGCCAGCCCAGCTACCATCCTTTCTGCTCCAAGACAGATTCCCCCTTGCAGAGAGGCCAATGCCTTTTGTCACTGCTTATTCTCCATGGCTCCCGGGCTGGACCTGGGTAAAGCATTTCAAGAACATCTTGCAGCTGCCTATGTAGTCTTGTTCCCAGCCTGCCTGGCGCTGTACCTAAAAGACAAGGCTTTCTGGAGATGATCTCAAGCAAACTGGAACAGCAAAGTCATTCCACCTTGCAACACTCATCAAGCCTTGCCAGGAACAAATGATCAAAAAGCCCAAGGGACAATATTTCCTCATTCCCAAAACTGCAAGCCAGCAGCACTCAACTGGACTGTTAACACGTCTCGACCACCTCCAAGCTCCAAGAGACTTAGGAATGAGAAGGAAATAAGGAGAGATCAGTCTGGAAGGAAAACTTCTTCTTAGCTTGGACTGATCACCTGTTAGGGAAGAAAGAGGCTTTTATTTTGGGTAGGGGCACCTGGACTTAACAGCGGGCTGCCAGTCAGTGCCTGTTAAAAATGCAGGGCTGCGTTTAGCAAGGCAAAAATTCTCCTGGTCAAAGTTTCAGGAACAAAAAGATGCAAGCACTGTGGAGCCCCGGCTGGGAAAGCCTGTCCCAGAGGGATTAGGGTATGAAGACTCCCCAACAGGTTGATGTTTTACTGTCTCCACCAACCTGCTTCCCACGCACTCAGCAGGATGAATGTGTGAGGGACCACGCACAGCTCTTCGACTGGAAGACTAGCATTAGTGGCAGCATTTTTAATACAGGTTGTCCCACCTGTCCTTCTCCAGGTGACTCAGTAGATGTGTGGGTAAGGCCTACAGGAAAGTACCTGGGCTCTGAAGAGCACTGCTTGTTTGGAGCTGAACATCACATCTGAAGACTTAATGTCCAGACGAGGCCCTGACCCTCTCAAGAGAGAACTGAGCTTCAAGAGGGTCTTCTAAATGTCCTCTCTACCTTGCAAACCCACTCACATGCCCACAAGACACTTGCTTACCATCATCTACATCTACTCTTCATAACCTGACAGGCCTTTTCACCTTTATAAGGAATGAAATCCTGCATGTGCCCCTCCTCAAACTCTGCTCCCTTCCACATCTTTGAAGACTCAGTGGGATTTTATCTCAGTAGATATGCAGTCTGGCCTTATTTGTCTTATCAGGTGTCCTCTGGCAACAGTCACTGTTCCTTCTATGAAGGATGATTCCCCACAGAAGAGTGATTCCCACCTCAGAAACACGGATGTTTTGCATAAATATCAGACTGATGTCATTTCACAACAAGAAGCAGAGATAAAGTAGTGCAGCCCTTTTTCTAGCTATTTTGACAGCATTTCTGTGCAAAGCAACATTAGTTTTCCCCGCTCGGTTCCCATAAGATCTCGGACGTTGTCTGTCTCCCTCTGCAACCCGTGCTAGCAGCCCAGGCAGCACAGCAGCTTGCCCTCACCCCGTGCCAGCCTCGGGCTTCACCTCTACAACCCTCTGCAGCCATCTGTCCTACAGCCTCACCTTTCCCCCCGTGGCCAAGGGCTCCCAGCAGGACCATTTCACCTCCCCACAGCAGACATCTCTCCAGCTGCGTCTGCCGCTGCTTTCCAACTATTAGCCACAAATCTCTGAACACCAACAGCCACCTGCTCCGCAAACTTTGGTGCCTTTCTGCATTTGGTGGTCTGGAGACAAGATCCATCCAGGTCTCCCAAAAGTGCTGCCGTTCACACAGCTTTTGGGGGCTGAAAATGCAATTTCCAGTGGGTAAAGGAGACAGATGCTCCGCTTTCATCTCTGTGTGAGTGCAGCCTTATGAAAGAGATGAACCAATAACTAGTGTCCTTCAAACAGGGGGCAGAACCTGAAGAAACACCTGACCTGCCTCTTCTCCTACCTACTTGCACACTGAACAAAAGCTAAGAGATCCATGCAAGACTATCCGTCAGTAGGTGAGCGCTGGTATTTATTGTGCTGTAACAGACAGTGCTGGTTGAAAATGGACTACGATTTTTGTTGCGAATCAAGTGTTGTGGCCATTCCTGCGTGTCTCCAAGAAGCGTGGAGCCGAGCTGAAGGAAGGAAGAAGGGGTGAGAGTCGGGGACCCGAGTGCAGAAATGTGCTTCAAACTGTATCAACAACACTGTACTTGGGCACTTTTCAGGTGGCACGGGATACAGTTCAAGTGTATAACTCATTAATTAAGCAGAGCAGCTAATCTTAGCACTAATGAACTCTAGCTCAGGTAATGTAACATTTAAAATTAACAAATTGGACAGAAGTCATTCACAGTAAAGATTTCCATTCCCAGGCTAGGTGAGAGCTATTGTTATGATTAGATTACTGCCAGCCAGGACCAAAACAGTACACCAGGGTAATAGGAAAATAATCATCCATATGGATCAGCTCCAGCTGTAACAAGACGCGCTGTGGATCTGAATGAGGCGCCGAGTGCGAATGTGAAATCTCACTACTGTGTCAAAACAAACATCACTGCGTGGTACACGTAGAGCGTAGCATGCCGTTTCGCCGGGGTGGTACCGACCACTGCTCGGTGGCTCGGGGCGGCGGAGAGCAGTGATGCAGCAGAAAGTCGCTTGTTCTTTTTCTCCCCCTCCCTCCTTTTAAAAGTCACGGGCTGTCGCAAGGGCACTGCAGTTCGATTCAAAATTCATCTTCAGAGCTGTCAGCTAAGAGCATGACTCGGTCCTGCATGCTGTTAAATTCCCTCTGCTAGGGGAAGAAAAGAAACACTGAAGAGCTCCACATGCGAAAACGAAACAAAGAGCTTTCGGATCCCCCCAAATACTCTAACTGAGAGGTCCCGGGCACTTCAACCCAGACAAACCATAACCATAACCAGGCTGCGCTCGCTTTACAGCCAACATGGTTAACAGGAGAGTGGGTGGGATTGGGGTTTTCCTTTGCAGTTGCCATACCTTTCTTTTATGTCTCTTTGAGCCATTTCTCCTTCGGCGATTCATAATCTTAATGCTGTAGAGTGCTCCTAGGATAAAGAGGGCTCCGGCTATTCCGACTCCTACGGGAACCAGCATCCCCGACATGTATCCTGCCTATGGGGAAAAGAGAGAAGCAAAGCAGCACTCACAGGACCATTCTTTCAGAGTCATCTTCCACCAGTCTTAGGACTGAGATGTATCCCTATGCTGCTTTTGTCAACGTTTGTTGTATTTGTCCCTATCACCCGCCTGCATAGGATGAGCCCTGCTTCCAGGATCGCTAAGGAAGCCCCCAACAAGTCCCACTCCAGGACCAAGCTGGTAACCACCATGGCTGAGTCACCATCAGCTTTTGCTAACAGATACTGCTTTCTGATAGCTGAGACACTGCAGTGTTTGCCCACCTTTAGGAGAGGGAAGAATTTTGGTGCAGAGCTGCAAGTGCTCGGGTGGAATGTCAATAGAAGTGCACGTGTAATGGAAAACCTCAGCCGCCAAGGGCAGGCAATCTTGAGCCACAACAAAGACCTGTGACGACCCAAACAGCTCCACTACCCACTGTGTAGCATCGACCTGAATGCTGCTCTGAGCTCCCCAGGTACCACCAGTGTAAAGCAAGACACAGGTATATGTCTGGCCATGTGCAATGGAGCTCATTCCGGAGAGCCAAGAGCTGCCGCTACACTTTTCAGCATGAATCCAGACTGGCAGCGCGGGACCAAGTGGTGTGGTGACGAGTGCCTCAGCACCCCGCTGCCCACAGATCTCCGCACCGTCCTGCAGCCCTCGGGGCGGCAGGAGCAGGCAGAGGAGAGCGCGGCGCAGGCAGAAGAGCCAGTGCCTAAAAGCCACCAGGCGAGATGCCCGGCACCAGATGGGGAGCTGCAGAACAGGCAAGGAGCTGTTTTCGGAGAACGGCTGCGCTGCGAAGCGGGGAATCTCACCTCCATCGTGGGAGGTGGGTGGGAAAGTGATCCAGCATCCTCCTGGCCAGCTCTGATGGATGAAGTGTGTCTTACCCTGGCCAAACTGCTAAATATACCTCCAGCAAAGAGTATTACACAGCTCCCATGCTTCCCAGAGACACCTTGGCATGGCAAAGCAAGTGCCCCGGGACAGTAGTGTCATATCTCAGCACGGGGACAACAGAGGCTGCCCTTAGCATGTAGAGCTGGGTCTCTGAAGGAGCCGAAATACAAAGCCAGGCTGTGCTCGCATGTCACAGGGAGAAGCAGCAGTTTTCCCTCTCCCTGCCCAGCCCAACCTGCGCCTCCTTGGCTTCGTACTCCAAAATCCTTGAACCAAATCCTTTTGCTTTGCATGGGAAGGGGTCACTTGCATGAGCAGGACAACGATGGAGAGGGAGGGCACGCACACCTTCAGCTGGCCTTAAGGGAAGCGCAGTGAATGCAAATCACCTCTAATTCAACTGCTATGATCCGTACATTTGCATTGCGCATTAGAAAAATATAGATAGCATGACTAATTTAAAATTACACATTTAAGCACTTAAAATCCTTTGGAAAATATTCCCAAGCGCTTGTTATTTTATATTTTACTGTTTTAAATGAAAGTTAACCCAACTTTCAAAGTGCCAAATTGCTTCAGCATCCTCAGCTAATTCAGGCTGGGGGGTCTCAGTGGGGTAGGGGAGGCAGGTACAGCCTGTCTCCCTCCCTCATTAGTGCTGCCTTCGTTCACACTGCAGCAACAGAGTCCTCTTCTGTGGCACTACAGATTTACCCTTCGCCACCTACACCCCCCAAAATAGATTTTACACCTGCCAAGGGACACACGCACAATTCAGAGGACTACCAGACAACTCTTAGCAGGCCCCAGCCCATTGCTTACAACCACTCACCTTCATCTGCATTCCCAAACTGCAACACAACTTAACAACACATGATTACAGCCTAATTGCTTTTTTTCCATAATCCGCTGAGTGGGGAGGGGAAAAAAAAGCTATTCAGTGTGTGCTACCCTGCCTTTGCATCTTACCTGGAGAATGAAAATAACTCCTTTCATCTAGGACAGATACAATGCTCACAAGGGCTGTTTTGCTCTCCCAAACCCCTCCAGATCCTGCTCGGTGCTTTAAATAGTAACACCTTTGCGCCTGCATCCCAAGGCTTGAGGGACCTTCAGTGGCATCGGGCAAGTCCCCTGAACGCCCTCCCAGAAAACCCAGCCCCGCTCAGCACATGCGCTTGGAGGGGGGCTATGTGCCTGCACCCCAGTTTCCAAAAAAAAGGAGGTTAGTGAGAATATAGCTAAAAGACTATATATGTCTGCAAGGCAATTAAGGTGCCTTAATTGGGTGACCTAATTAGTGCAGCGTGAGTTTTTCTATTTCTGGAACTTTGCTGCTGGCACGGGTGGCGAGGGGAGACTGGAAACAGCTTTTTAGCTGCTGCCCAGCTGAATTTCCATATCAGAAATCACTAGTTTTCATACGATGAACTCCCTAGCCCATCCATGAGCCTTTATCACGCCTGGCCAGCCCATGCCCTATTCCAGGCTTCCTCCAACAGCTGGACCAATGATTTCTGCCCCAAAAGCCTGCAAAGTGAAGCAGATCCGGGACCTGTTCTCCCAGCCCTTCTGTGTCACGCAGCCCAACACATGAGGGCTTCTGCACTTCCCTGATAGGAAACCCCATTTCACAGGTAGCTCCGAAGCCACATTTTTAGCCCTTGCCCATGGGGAAGGTGCTGCTTCTTTACAGGTCCTAGGGATGCTTTTAATACACTCAATCCACGACCACGACCTTCCTGGCTGCACTGGACTTTGAGATAACAGTAACAGAAAACTTCAAAGGAACCTCATGTCCGTTATTCAGCATGCCAAATGCAACATTTGCACAGTGTTTGCAGGAGACCAGACATAAATCTGTCACTGACCCATGCTCCTGGTCCCACACTCCCCGCACCCTTCCTGCTCCCAGCAGGGTGGCCCTGATGCACAGAGGAGGACACATCTCAGGGATGGGGCCATCACGTGCCACAATACTCTTTTGGATGGATGGTAAAATAGAGAGGACAGGGCTCTGCCAACAGCAAATTAGAGGGGCACAAATTGTGACTGGTGCTGATAAACTCAACAAGGAAGAGGAAGAAAATGGGTGAGCAGGTTTATTTGGGAGTGATTTGCTTTACCAGCATGTGGTTGGGGGTTGGGGAGTAGTTTTCGTTGGGCTTTTCTAAGGGAAAATGTGAGCAAGGTGAAGGATCTGCCTCCACACATCTGCCGTTCCCCAAAGAATGGAGATGGCTCAGGGCTTGAGTCTCTTTTTTAAGTGGACACTAGCAGATCCCCTGTTATACCAATGCTTGTGCTGGGCACTGCCACGCAGTCCAACATCTACCTGCAAGAGGTTCAGGCTCTACAGAGGAATTCTGTTGGAGACTGGAACATGCACCCCCACCTCTGCAACGGGGAAGGACAGAGGTAGCCAACAAGGTGCCAAGAGGAAAGAACTAAAAGCTACGGCTTCAGTGAGAAGATGCCTGATGCCCCCACACTCGTGCTGTGCTGGCTGGGGTACGTCTGGCATGAGCAGGTGACCCGTGCATGCTACATTCACTCCAGGCACTCAACCAGACTTAGTGTCTGCTTTTTACCTTTGTCGGGAAAACCATTCTCTGTCCTTTCAGCATTCGCTCTGGCTGAATCCCAGGCCAAGGTGCTCTGCTATGAGCATCGCTCATACTAGACATGCCTCCTTCCTAGTGTAGGCAGAAAAGCAACTCAACGAGGGCTGAGCAGGAACCCGCCTTAAACCCTTCCACTTCCCAGTCGTGGAAAACAGATACCCAGAACCCATCTCTCTGTTCAGACTTGATGGTAAGATACTGCTGAAATTTGGTGGGGATCACATGGGAAGGCTGGGCTCGTTGGGTGACAATCTGCTTAAGCTCAGAGATGTATTTTCAGGGCTGGATTTTCCTATCAAGACATTATTCCTTGTGGTGGGGTTTTTTTTGTCTATTGACTGTGATCTTGTTCAAGAATTTCCAAGCCCTGTTGAGTCACAAAATGTTCTTGTCTTGAAACACTACTGTCACCTCATTTCTAGCTTCATGGCTTTGCTGGCATCAACACAACATTTGAAAGGCTTCACAACCATTTCAAAATGTTAGTATTTTCCCATCACTGCCTGTGGCTGGCACAACGCTTGGTTCCATGTACCAGCAGCCTGTAACACCAGGGAGAAAAAGATGAGGGTCTGCTATCTTTTCAGTCTTCCTCTGTTTGCTCTTTTTCCTTCCAGGAATTTGCAGCTCTTCTGGCACGTGGAGGCAGGAAAGGTCTCATCCAGAGGCAGTGGCGTGGCACACAGCCTCTCACTAGAGAGGATCACTAGATCCTCTTGACTTGGGTCTAGAACCAAGCTTAGGACTTAGAGAAAAGGGGTAGAGGTAAGTTAGAGGGCAATATAAAAAAGTAACTAGGGTCGTTTGCAGAGAAGGTGATTTTCTAGTGCAGAGAAGTTATCCCTCCTTCTCTTAGTTACTACTCATCAGGGATGTACTGTGGATTTACACCACTATATATAATAGCAGCATCTGGTTCATTGCCTCCCAGAGAAAATTTTAAGCCCCTTCTCAATTGTCTTTGTAGAGATAATGAACTCCAGTGACAAGAGTTTTTTCCTGCAAGTAAAAATGGTTTTGCTTTTAAAGTAATTGAAACATTGAGCCTCCTACCTTATCTTTCAGCTTCTCCATCCAGCTTCTCACTGAAAATAAGACAAAAAAAGCTGTAATCATATTACTTATGTTATATTAATTAGTAACAAATGATAATGCTAGCATTAAAATAGACACTAATTAACTTGACAAGCTGATAACACTTTTCATTAGATTTCCTCTCTTCTCATTCATGAAAAAAAGCAAATGCAGCAAATCAACAAGAGAAACTCTTCAAGCAAGTTGGCAGGCAAGAAGCTCGCTTTTGCCTGTGCAATTCACATCTTCAGAGTGACTAAAAGAGGAGGATGAAAAACAATTATTTCAGGTTTTTAACCAGCACTTCTCATACACACAGTGGGATGTCAGACAAGAAGAAAACCTTAGAGCGTGACTATCCCTTTCCACTGTCCTCCTCCACATCGATGTTTGGCATAGCCTGTAATGATGCCTGAAAAGGTATCATTCCCTGTCTTTTACTCCCCTGCTTTTCTGTCAGCAGCCACTGCCTGTCTGGGAAGTCACCAGATAACATGTGAGGACTGGGATAGCACTGGAAGTGCTAAATCACTAAACCAAGTAAATTTGTACTGCCATCACAGAGGCTTTCATTTCCTAACAGTTAATAGAAGTCACATGGACTATGATACCCAAGAACTACAAGTCTTTAATGGCATGTACTTTGGGATGAAATATTCAGCTAATCTCAAAGAACTACAAATGATTAGCAGCAGGTACACAGCCCATTAACTACACAGGCGACTGGATTCGTCTGCACTGCACGGAAGACAAAATGCCCAGCCTTTGAGATATCCACTAATATCTCAACAAATTCACAGAATCACAGAATGGTTAGGGTTGGAAGGGACCTCTGGAGACCATCTAGTCCAACCCCCTGCCAGAGCAGGGTCACCTACAACAGGTTGCACAGGACAGCGTCCAGGCGGGTTTTGAATGTCTCCAGAGTGGGAGACTCCACAACCTCTCTGGGCAGCCTGTTCCAGTGCTCCACTACCCTCAAAGTAAAGAAGTTCCTTCTCATGTTAAGATGGAACTTCCTATGTTCAAGTTTGTGCCCGTTACCCCTCGTCCTATCACTGGGCACTACTGAAAAAAGACTGCTCCCATCCCCCTGGCACCCTCCCTTTAAGTATTTGTAAGTATTAATAAGATCCCCCCTCAATCTTCTTTTCTCTAGACTAAAGAGACCCAAGTCCCTCAGCCTTTCTCCATATGAGAGATGTTCCAATCCCCTAATCATCTTCGTTGCCCTTTGCTGGACCCTCTCCAGCAGTTCCCATTCCTTCTTGAACTGGGGAGCCCAGAACTGGATGCAGTACTCCAGATGCGGCCTCACCAGGGCAGAGTAGAGGGGGAGGATGACCTCCCTCGACCTGCTGGCCACACTCTTCTTGATGCACCCCAGGATGCCATTGGCCTTCTTGGCCGCCAGGGCACATTGCTGGCTCATGGGCATCCTGTTGTCCACCAGGACTCCCAGGTCCCTCTCCACAGAGCTGCTCTCCAGGAGGTCAGCCCCCAACCTGTACTGGTGCATGGGGTTATTCCTCCCCAGATGCAGCACCCTACACTTACCCTTGTTGAATTTCATCAGGTTTCTCTCTGCCCAACTCTCCAGCCTGTCCAGGTCTCGCTGTATGGCGGCACAGCCTTCTGGCGTGTCAGCCACTCCTCCCAGTTTTGTGTCATCAGCAAACTTCCTGATGGTACACTCTATCCCTTCATCCAGATCATCAATGAATATGTTGAACAAGACTGGGCCCCGTACTGACCCCTGAGGGACACCACTTGTTACTAACCTCCAACTAGACTCTGCACCACTAACCACAACCCTCTGAGCTCTATCTGTAAGCCAGTTCTCAATTCCTGATCACAGGTAAGAGGCAAGCAAGCAGTTAAATGCTGGTTCTTTTCCAGGCATGGCAACTGTGTTTTAAGCCCTGGTCAAGGTTCTCTGTTTCTCCAGGAGGCACAAGGGGACTCTTGGATACGCCAATGTCCACCTGAAGAATATTTCTCCCATGACACATTAGATCCCAGATGTAACACACCGTTTATGGACTAAGACCCTATTTCCAAGCCTGCCTTCTCCTAGAAGCTCCCTTCAAAGCTGGCGTTGGCAGTATTAGAGGCTGCCTGTTGGCACATACAAATACACCACTCAGGGTAACCAACCTACAGAAAGGAGAGCCCTGCTGTGCGTGGGGAGGGTGCAGCAGTAAGGCCATCAGTAAATGGCCTTTTTATGTCGCAGATACAATACAGAGAAGCACAGCAGCTAGGAAGCAGTAAGACTCAGCCCAGACATCAGCATCACTGTATTAAACTGCAACATTTTAACAAGGTCAAAGTGATTTGAATACTCCCTTTTTAACTCTTAGTAACATAACACTTTCCAAACAGAAGGATTCCACATTACCTAGGCATGAAAAAGTGTGAAACAGGCACAGGCACATCCACGCAAACTCACTTACCTCTGACAGGTAGCTAAAAAAAAAAATTAGTTATCCAGGAGACACCCACAGCACTAGAAGAGGACAAGAGGTCTACTTTTATCAACTCTTCCTACCATTAGTCCTAACATGCATGGTCTAAGCTGTAGTAAACTCAACTTATAAAGGAGCTGTCACCATCATCCTCTGTCAGTCCGAGCCTACGTGCCTTGGATGTCATTCCCAGTGGAACACCAGAGACGAAGGAAATGCATGGTTCCCCTGGGCTAGGTTTCTCAGCTGGGTTTCTAGATGTAACACTGAAACAATCACTGGCTGTAACATCACCTAGACTTTCAAGGAGAGCCCCTACGCTGCTGCCTTGCTGCCAGGCCTGGGAGAGACCAAACACCAGGAAAACTCGCTTAAAAACACAAATATTGCAAACCAAAGGAATTAATCCCAAAATTCTTCCCAAGGAGCCTTCTCATGACTCGCGTGTTTAACGATGCTGTCGTGCTTTATTCCAGGCTCCCAGGAGGAGTGGTAATGGTGACTCAGTGTCACACAGTCACAGCCACAGCTGCACAATCACAGTGCACGTTTTGAAGCTTTGGACTGATGTTGTCCGCGCACATCCAGACAGCTACACGCGTACACACGCTGCGTGCACGCAGCCGCCCAAAGCCGCTGTGATGCCAACTCACGCTAAGCACAAAGCCTGTGTTTACACGTCTTTCACAATAATTAGATGGGATCGGTGATCTCGTCAATAGTCGATCCACTTTCTTGCAGCCGAACAGCGGAGTCTCCAAATCAGCAACTAACTCGGAGTATTTCTGCTAGTCAGAGGCAGAGGCTGATCTAATAATATTCTACTACCTATTTTCAACAAGCACAAATTCTGGCTTCGTTCCCCTCTGCTCCACAAAACGACAGCAGCACGTCCGTTGGGACCCACGGACACTACAGTACAAATCTTTATTTGCTCTTTGTACAATTGCTTATTATGAGAACTGATCTTGTTTTCAGTCATGTAGAACACATCAGATGCCTTCATGAACCAGCCTAAGCCACAGAAAAAACAATGCAAGCTGATTTCTCCTCCAGACTGGACGCCTCTCCGAGAGATGCTCTAACGCAGCCGCAAGTGGGCTGAGTGAAAGCCCCTGACCTGGGCTAGAGGAAAATAATGGTCCCAAATTTGGGAATTTAAGGCAGCAGGAGGTCAAAAACATGCCTGGCTTTTCAACACCCTGGCAGGGCTCCAGCGGCGCGCGGGAGCAGCAGGTCCAGCTCTCCCGGGTAGGAGCAGAGAGCACGGAGCAGCCACAGCCATGGTCCTGGACCTCCCAGCTCTGCTGCCGGTCAGGCTGGGGCCGTGACAAGTCAAGGAGAATCGGATTACCACGAATTACAAACACTTTTAATGTCACTAATACACAAAACTGTTTCAACACCTTTGAGGAAATGATAAGCCACTGTGTCATTAAAACCGAGCGCTTACTGCTCCAATTATTTACCCATATGCGGACACTACAGGGTGTGCATAGGAGATAAAGCACTTTTTCAAGTTCGAATTGATATCTATGCTAAATGGCTACCATCAATTAATTCTGGAATTCAGACTCTAATTATGCATCATTATCCATAATTAATATTCTGAACTTGGTCTTGGAAGAGGAACATTGCAGATGGCACCTTCTCATAAAAATGCAACGCTCTCCGAAAACACGAGGTAACTTGCCAATGAGGCCAAGCAAATAAATAGTAACAAATACTCTAGTCCATGTCTTTTTCATCTAATTTTTTCTCCTTCCCTGATCACTGAATATCCTGAACAAATGACAACAGTCTCTGGATGTGAAATTACTAACAAGCGCCTGCAACGCTGCCTGGTCTTCTGTGGCATTTTAAGGATGGTGACTAGCCCAAACTCTCTGCCTTGGCTTAATTTTGATCCCTTGATATCACGGGGAGCTGAGGTAGATGAATGTGGAGCACTTTGAAAATTACATACATAATCTGACATTTCCTCAGTGATTTATATAATGTCTGCATCTCTGCAAATTAATTTTAAATAACATATAGCTTGAGATTAAGCAGGTCAGGAGCACGGAGGAGGAGCACGGTTGTCTGGCATTGGCGTCAGAGCAGCCCAGGATAAATTCAGACAGTTACAGATGCACCGTGTTATTTTTAGTCATTTTTACCCAGCTTTCCCCTTGAAAATGTGCAGCCAGCCATTAAGCAGCCACGGTGCCAGCTAAAGAAGTTTGGCTAATTTGCAGAGGTAAGCAGCAGCCTGCCGTGCCTGCCTGGCCCTTCCTTGGAGGAACCTGGTCCAAAGGGACAGTCAAGAAGCCCCATGAGCAAAAACTTTCTGAAAGTTCGGGTTTTGCCACATTGTCCTGGTTTGAGCAATATGGGACTAATTTCTCTTCTAATACTTGGGAAGATTGCACTTTTAGAAGATTTTGGTGTCTGAATTTGTGAAAATATTTAGTTTACAGGCAGCTATGGTGTGTGGGTTTCAAGGTCTCAGTGTTTTTGAGCTCTCCAGGTGCGGGGACGAGGAGCAAGACCCAGGCACTTGA